AAAAAAAAAAAAAAAAAAAACCACCAGAAAATTGTGACAATTAGCTTGAGAACAGACACAGAAAGTGGGGGAAATTCAGCTTGGCCAGTTAGTTCTGGAAGATCTAGGAAACGCAGCCCTATGAACTCCTGAAACTAAACGGGAAAGATCCCTCTCAAGGAGAAACCACTGGGAACGTCCAAGCTGAGCATGACAGAGAGAGCAGAAGCAAAAGGGAGGAAAGCCTGCACACAAGCGGGTGAAGAGGCACCAAAACAGATCCTGGGAAGACTCTCTTTCTGTCTATAAGAAGTGTGTCTTTCTATCAAAAATGTTAGGAAAGTAGAGGGAATCGTCTAGAGATAAAAAGCCAGAAAACATCTGTGGGCCCAGTATGTTCTCCTAAGAGTTCAGGAAAAGTAATTTTAGATAAAACTAATCTAAAGAATAATGGCCTAATTCTACTTAGATTGATTATTTTTTTCAATAATGATTATTTTTTAATGCCAGAATCTTTTTTAAGCTAGTTTAATGTTCTTACAGAAAGATGTGCTCACAAAAACAGAACTTAATAAATGAAATCAAGCTTTAAAAAGAAGATCATTAGAGAAGATGAGAATTAAACATAATCAGAATTAGAAAACCTCAGGAATTATATAAATTAGGAATTCAATGTGAAATGAAAAAAACAATTCAAGTAAAAACTTAAACCAAAAGAAAGATAAGAACAAATAAGTACAATAATAAAAGGTTCTAAGAAAAGTAAAAGAAATATTCCAAAGGTTTAATTTTTAAATACTAAAAGATAAAAGGAGCTCACCAAGGAACTACAATTTGGGGTTTGGGTGGGAGAAGACTGGAATCAGACTCAGGACCTTACCCTTGCCAGGAGGCACTTGTGCGACTGAGCTATCTCCCTGACCCAAGGAACTACAATTTACTTGTTAATTATCAAATGAAATACTAAAACTCAAAACGCTTAAATACAAAATTCAAGGTTTACTAGTAAATTAGATATAGCAGATAAAATGATTAATAAACTCAGAAAATAAGAAAGAATGGAAAATAGAAGAAACTGAAAGGTCTTACGGGTACACAACATACTTTTTATAGAAAGTGATACTAAAAGCTCTGAGAGCTCCAAGGGGAATTTGTGTAAATGCACACAGACAATACAAGCACATCATTATTAAAGGAAAAAAAAAAAAGAAACTGCCCAAAAAGCATAGTGAAAATCTTGATAGTCAGGAAAAGATACACATTACTTTGAAAAGGAACAATGTTTTGCAACTTATCAACATAAAATGTAGGGAAAAATGTTTTTAAATAGCATAATATAAGCAACTACCTATCTCAAATTCTATACTCATCAAAAATATTCTTCAGTAGCTGAGGATACAGTCCAGTGGTAGACTATTCGCCTACAATGAGCAAGGCCTTGAATTTGTTCAATTTCCATCACCATAAAAAATAAAAAATAAAAAAACTAAAAATGCAGGAAAAAAGTTTTTTTCAGATAGACAAAAATGGAGATTATTTTTCAACAGCTGACCCACATTAAAAGTAATAGCAGGGAGCTGGCAAAATAGCTCATCAGATTAAAGCACTTGCTTAGGCAGATGCTGGGGCCAGGGGTTCAATCCCCGGGGCCTGAGTTCCATGCCACCCCTCCCACTCCCCGGGGCACACTGAGACTGCGACTGAGATTGGGCCTGGAGGTGCATGCCTGTAATCCCAGCACTTGGAAGGCTGTAAACAGGAGGATCACTACAAGTCCTATCTACATAGTGAGACTCTGTAGACCCTGCCCTAAATACATTTAAAAAAA